TACGATGTGAATAATGTCCTCAATTTGTGCAGAATGCGTTTCCTAGTACCGTTTCAAACCTGATTTAGACGGATAATCTACCAAAGAGAGAAATTCAAAGAGCGTCCATCTTCTGATAGATAAGGAACGCAATGCAAGGAATCTGGTAACAGAAAACTCAACAAGTCGAACAACTAACTTTCGAGGCTATCTCTTGTTGGAGCACTTTTTCAGCATTGCTAAGTTTCTTCTCGAACATTTCCAGCTGATCTGATGAGGCAGCGCTATCTTCTGCTGACCTGAATAAATGAAATGAGGCCAGTGGGGATCCTTGCGCAGAACCTCTACGAAAAGGAACACCTGCGGCTTAACTGTTACATAGGATTTTTGAGGGAACACACCTAATCAGCTCAGAAATCTCCGCATTTTTCTTTTCCAGATCGCGTTTTGCCGTTGCTAGAGCTGCCTCTGTATCATTGAGAAGGTTTGTTAGTTGTTGGTTTTCTTCCTTCAGTCGCTCAGCATTCGCGTTATCCTGAACAACTTGAAGTCTTGCTTTCCAGGAAAAAAAGTTATATTTCACAGTTTGCTTCATTTCCTCGGAAGATACATACGAACAAAGGCTTCAGTTCCAACCTTCTACCCTCCAGCGGTAACTTCTTGATATGATGATACAACTATACGATTTCGATTTAGAATCGGAGTTGGCTTTTCAAACCAAACTGCCCACTTTCCAGATCAAAATGGACACCCTGTTTACACCGGAGTCAATTAATTGGATCACACTAGACACTACCGCCACGACAACAATGCCCACTTTTTGAAAAAGTTTATCCATTTTCAAAATTTCCACATTTTCGAGCTGCCACCGGTAGTCCCGCCCACCCCGTAGACGCCCTGCTCACTTCGTAAAAGCCCTCATGTTGGCAGGTTAGTGTCTCAATTAGTAGGTCAGAATCTCGCTCGTCACTCGAAACAAACCTAACCTTTTTTTGTTCTGAATGACGAGCGAGTCTGCACCCTTCAGTTTGAGAGGCCCTGGCCTGCAGAGTTGAAAGGGGCACATTGTGGAGGGTGAGCGGGACTTCCTCGAAAAAAGTGGGGCGGAGCTTTTCGTAGTGGGGTGGGTTATCCGTCTTACAACGCCCAACAACGCGAAGGATTTGAAAAAGGGATCATTTTTCGCAAAAAGACAGCAAAGTCGGGCGTGGGCGTATCGGACGCTGTAGTATCAGCATGACCCAGTCAATTGACTATGGTGTTAGAATTTTGTTCAGCTTGGTTTGAAAAGTGTTCGATTTGAAATAAAAACGGTTCATATATACTAGTACTGAAAGCGCCGGCTGGAGAGAGAAGTGGGTGGAGATACACCCAGTCTTTACGCTTTCCTCATTGGAGCTTAATACGGTAGCGACATAAGTGCGAGCCAATGAGGACGACATAGTGACTGGTTGTCTCCGCTCCCTTAGCACGCTAGTCCTACGCACCTGTGTCGCTAGCATCAGTGATTGTAACGCGGCGGACTTCATATGCAGCTCCTTTTTGGTCTCGTCCAAATCCTCTTGGAATCTTCCGTCTCTCTCGTTCATTCTGATGTCTTGCCACCTCGACGTCATGCCTGGCTTTCTGTAGGTCGGCCTCCAACCGACTGCTCTCCCTTGCCGATGAACTCTGAAAGGGCTAGCGTAATGAAGCAATCATCTGCTCTGAGGAAACTGATGGTACGAACCTCAAGCTCATCCAAACGCCGTTTCATTTCTTTGTTATCTGATTTCAACTTTTCCACTTCGCCAGCAGACTGGGTTTCAGCTAACTGTGCGATCATGGAATTTATCTGGAAAGAACTACTTCTAAAACGAACAGGGTGGGCTTTATTTGGTTATGATCCCAGATGAGCAGCTACAGCTGATATCGTCACAGTGAGTCGGGCGGTGCCACGGGTCACGGAATGAGCCCACCCGCGGCGATTTCATTACTGACTGTTTCCTTCCCAAATCAAATCGGTCACTAACAACCATGTGTATTTCTTAAACAGTGAAGGGGCTCACCCCGCTCCCCCTGACACCGCTCCGACAGATT